ATTAAAAACGATTATCCATTTACTTTTGAAAACATACATTTATTGAAAAATAATGTTTTTAATAGTTGATTACCCTGAACTTTAAATATAATTCTACTGAAAAACCAATAAAAAATAAAATTGTTGTTTTCATAATCGTTGCGAGCCAAAATCGTAATTGCGATTAAAATACGATTAATTGAGCTGCCCTAACTTATAGTCATGCCATATGTTATTATTTTCAGGGTAAATTAGGATACTCGGCGTGTTGTCATTTGGCAACTCACTCCGGATTGTTCTCTTTGTATATCGTTGGCACAACTAGACATTATAAACAGATAAATAGACATTTATCCGCATTCTACGTCAGCAATACTGTTCCCACTGGAAAAGGGGAAGTCACTGATTCCACAATTTTGATGAATGGCTTATGGTTCTGAGAAGAGGTTTGATTTAAAGTGAGCACTGTGGATAAAATTCTCAGAAAATATAACGGAAAAGAAAGAATCTGACAATCCAAGTTAAAGTGTTACATTGAATTAAACACAGCTAAAATAGAAGTAATAGTATCCTTTAAAGCGTGATATTTTTGTCCTGGTTCATAGTGACCCCCCTCCCAGACAAAGAGCGTGACACTGGATCATTGGGGCTCTAGAGGAACAGGTTTTCACATGTGGAGGGAGGGGCCGAGCACCACCTTTTTAGAGGCAGGGGCTCCAGTTACAACACAGGCCCTAACACAGTGGTAGTCTAATGGACCAGTATGTCTGACGTTTTCACTGGAAAAGCTTCACAATTTATGCCTGGAGGTTAAAAAGTTTTCCTGAATGTTTTCCACCCTGCATGCTGAGACAAGCGCAGATCCAGAGGGGCGGAAAATCCTCAATGTTACGTTCACTACTGTTTACAACAGCTTAAAAAGCTTTTAGTCTAATCCACTGTCAACACCACCACCGCTTATGGTCTCTACCTTGTTTTATATGCTCGCCAGACATAAAAGTGCCCGATATATAAAAAAAGCCATTTTAGGTCTAAAACTGAGACGGCAGACTGTATTCAGGGAACATGTCAGCTATACTAAATGTACCCTTGAAAGACTTGCAGATCATTTTCCTCAGTGAGAGTAACACTATAGCCGCAGCTCAGGGTCGTGTAGCCTGGCATTGTTGGGGCTCGGTTGCCATGGCAGCGCCAGTGTTAGTCTATTATGGGCTATTACAAAGAGATATTTGTATGGTGTACTGTGTATGGAGGCAGAGGGGACTGTTACACACGGTGCCAGCCTTAAGAGTGAGTCCACAGCTGTGTCACCTTACATACAGGGGAATACTATAGTATCAGTGGTGGTATGTTCAGGTTACTACAAGTAATTTTTTTTATTACATTGTATTTATTAAAAGTCCTTTGCAGCTCCAAACACTTTTTTTGTACATACTTTACCTTTTTCCCGAATATTGCGCTTTGATCATTTAAGCAACCCTAGCTATACTTACTTGTCGGCTACTCTAGGTGCAGTAATGTAGTGTTGGACTGTATTTCATGCAGAGACATGGGCACTGATAAAGACCCAGATGCATGAATGAAAGTTTATTAAATTAATTAATCTTCTTTAGTGAAACAGGTGTGTTCAGTGTCATGCCACACACAAAGACCATCAGAGGGAATTTACTGGCCGACCTTTGGTAAGAACACATTTAACAGCGTGTTTCTTTATTGAGCAAATATACTCTGAACACATCTACCATTTAGCTTTTGAATAGGGTTTTGACTGGTGAGAGTAACCATGGATACAGTGCAGTATTTCTTCCCAGAGCAATGAGTCTTGAAGCAGTTCTGCTGTTGTGCTTCATCATTAAATACGAGCTGGAGAGAAACATTATTTATTGTGTTTGAAAAACCACATCTGGAATTATTTGGGCTTTTATGGATTTGTTTTTCAAGTACATAAGTTTCAGTGGAGGTCCTCAGAATGAGTCAATTTCCTAGATTGTGAAAGGACACTGAAATAAAGTAAATTCATAAATGGTGGTCTCCATATGCTATGTAAAAAATGTCATAAAGAATCTGCAGATGCGATTAAGAAATCACATCAACTTTTATCTAACAGATAACCAATAGATGTTTCTCATTTAATAACTCTTTAAGAATACAAAGAATGTGGAGTGGACCATCCCTAATATCCATCAGGGCTTTTCCATCCTACGTTTCTTCAACAGCTGACCCTCCTGAAAGAATAGGTCTGCCATACTTCCCATCTTCATTCATGCACTTGTATTGCCGTGTTTGTTTATGGAAAGTGGAAGTCTGCTTGGATATGACCTGGAATGCAATGTACTGTTTTTGCGGCTCGATGCATAGGTTAGCACTCTCTGCTCTTTGATTTCCTGACATTGTTTTAAAAGGAAAAAATAAAAATGGTCCCCGTAATGGGCAACCATCCAGCTATAGTTCTTCAAAGCTAACTGGCCTGTAAAGCTGGCATCCGTATTGGCTCGTTCACATGGGCACAATGCCAAGTTTAACTAAAAAGCACTGCTGCCTTCATTATTCATCGGATAAGGGCTTAAATGAAACATTAACTATTTCACACATATAACGCCTTAGTTGTGCAAGACTTGGTATGCCAGGCTCAAAGTCTAGAAAATATTTTGAGTTTTTGTGTGGAAAATGTGTGTAACTAACGTGTGTCAGCTGATTGCTTTCTCTGAATAATTGCCTCCTTTTCCTTCCTGACAAACGTAGTGTCCCCTAAAGCTTCAGACAGGTGTATTGATGTCTTAGAAAGGAGATTTAAAAGTTGAAACAAGTGGATTCAAATGAGCTTAAAGAGCAACTTGCAGGTTAGAGACACCTGTGAATAAATGTGTAGGAAAATGATGAATACACTAGATTTTCCAAAAAATATACAGAAATATACACTACAGTGACATCTGGCGTCGTTTTAGTAAGACATTTTCACTTCCGCATAAAAAAGCCTCCGCACGTGACCTCCCGCGTGTGACGTAACATGGGGGAAACAAGGGGGAGAGCGGCCGGTCTAACGTATGAATAAACATGGATCACAATGCTAGTTTTGAGACAGACAGAAAAGGGTTGAAAATATATATTCGAATGCATATGATTATAATTATGAGCCTGCTAGGCGTCTAAGAGACCAGGAGCGGCCAAGGTTTAGAAAAAAATAACGGCCATCGGAGAGAAATGGAGCTTTGGTGTGTGGAGAACCAGTGGAGAACAGAGCAGCTGTCTTGGTGAGTGAGCGTTAGCATGTTAGCTAACGTCAGTCACAACATTGTAAAGTTAGCGATCATATATCAGGCTATAACTAAAGTAGTATTGATAATATAGTAACGTTACTGGCAGGTCTGTTGATACTGATCCATAACAGAAACTAATGCGCAAGTATCAGCCGTATCTCGCGTTACCTAATGCAACTCCACACTACGGTGCTGTGTACCGGAGGAGAGACGCGAGATACGGCTGATACTTGACGATCTGGCGGAGAAAGGTTGTGGAGCCTCCGTTGATATGTCGTTGTAAATGGCTTGATGGAAAGCAGGTGTGTAGTCGGGGAGGGTGCACAGCTGATTGCAGCAGGTGAGTGGAGGTTGAGCCGGAAGCCAGGAGTGACAGCCACCACGCACACACAAACAACACAGACAGGGGGGAAACAAACAAACACAAAGGAGACGGCTGGAGCAGTACAGCCACCACAGCGTTACCTAATGCAACTCCACACTACGTCTTATGGTGCCGTGTACCGGAGGGGAGAGAGAGCAGCGAAGGGGGGAGAGAGAGAGCAGCGAAGGGGGGGAGAGAGATGTAATACAGTTTCTTGATAAAGCTGTGGAGACGGAGTATGTGCTGCAGGGAGGTGGATGCACAACGCACCCAGGAACGAACGCTAGCTCCGGTCCTTTTTCCGTGAGGGAAACTGTGGACTCGATGCCCTGACAGGCTTGAGTTTGTGCAACCTGCACAAACATAAGCTCACCATGATTACAAATGGTGAAATGCAATTTAAAATTACCGAAAAAATACCAGCTCACTAAATCACAACCGCTCAAACCAACTACTACCGCGGATTGGGAAGAGAACGAGTCCGAGAAAGTTAACTCCCCCATGTGACGTAATATGACGCGTTTGACGTATGACGTTTAAAAAAAAAGCAGTTTTTAGTAGCAGAGCTCAAAACGGCTCCTTTTCCTCTGAATTCCTGCCCTTATGTCTTGTAAAACATATAAAATCCTACATTAACATTTTTAATTGTAATTTTCAGGCAAGGTTAAGCATAAATGTAGTAAAAAAAAAAAACCTGCAAGTTGCTCTTTAAGCATGCAAGCTGCTTTTAGTTGTATTGTTTCAGATTGTCTTTGCAGTACAACGCTCTTGCCTTTCAACTAGGGCTGCTCAATTAATCGTATTTTAATCGCAATTACGATTATGGCTTGCAGTTGCAACGATTACGAAAACGACGTAATCGAAATAAAACGATTTTATTTTTTTATCATTACTTTTTTTTTCTCCAATAAATTGATGTTTTCAAAGTAAATGGATAATCGTTTTTAATAATCGTGATATCAATTATTGACCCAAATAATCGAGATTATGATTTTTGCCATAATCGAGCAGCCCTACTTTCAACATGCCTTTACTGTGCCTAACATGTTTGTATGAGCAATCAATCGAGTCCTGAAAAAAATCTATAACGGGCATGTTACCGTTTGTATTATTCATACATTCCAGGGCTCTCTGTGTTTGCCGTTGCCATGCAGAGAGGTTTCTTTTTCCCCCCGCAGCCACAGCTGACTCACCACTGGAAAACTTGAACTTCCTGTCGGTCTCTAACAGCTCTTTTGAAGGCGCCATGTGGACGTGTTGGTTTCTTTTTCTCCTCAGAAAACCAGTTGTTCTCCGTTGTGCCTTTATCAGTTAATTGCGCTTCATTGGCACAGTAAGATTAGCAACGTTTTCAAATATTCTGCATCTACGATACTACGATATGTAGGAAGTGATCTACAATGCCTGTGAATGAATAATGGACTTTCACACCTGTTATTTCATAAGAGCTCAATTTCCAATGTAAGTGTTTACTGAGTCATCATCTGCTGGATTTGGCGACACGGTGAACTAGAAAAAAGACACTCAAGCTTTTTTGCATGTAATCAATAATAAATCACAAATCACATTTCTTGGCAGCTCCATGCGTTAAACTTCAGCGCCACATTTGCGACCACATTTCCAGTGTTTTATAGACTTTAGTGTCTGCTTGATTTACGCTCTCGTGGCATTTCTAAGAATTCCTCGGTGCCCGGCTACTCTCCCATGGCTCCGCTTTACCACCAGAACTTTAACTCGCAACATAATCGAGCGCTGCAGTGATATACAATGGCAAGAGTGTGTTTGTAAATGTCAACAAATCCTTCTATACTTCTCGTCTTTCCTACAGTGTTTGCTTCGTAGTGGTTCCTCAGTCTTAAAGGATCCCTTTTATTGCCTTTGCCACAGTATAACTTAACATTCAGTGTGTATGTAATCCACCCCACTGTCCCATAGTGAGATTTGAGACACAAACATGCAGTGTTCTCCTGATTACAGAGTTTGAGGGCAGTGTAAAGCTAGACTGTGGTTTGCTTTTATGTCTTCTAGGATTGTGGTACAAGAGGGTTCATTGTAGGGCTGCACCAAAAGTCTTTTATTTAAAGATTTTTTTTTAGGTCTTTGAGAAGCTTCAAATGCCTCTTGATCTTTTTAATGTTGTAATCAGCCTAAAAAAGATGGACAAAATAAGATTTTGGGTTATTCTGGTCTGACAAATGTTATTTATGGTGCTGTTATTTTTGAACATGTGCATACCTTCAGTTGAGTGCAGCAAGAAGAAGAGACAAATGTTTTTTGACATCAATGAAAAATGTTTCTTAAAAGCTAAACGTCCAAAAGATATGGATTAAGGCAGAGTATTTTGCAAGATAAAAACAGGGTTGGAATTTGGAAAATTGTTGCATCTAACTTTTTCTAATAACTGTTGAATCTGAAGTTATAGAAAATGTTTGGAGTCTGAAACCATTGTGTATATAGCCACCACTGGAATCTAATTATACAAATAGAAAAACAAAAATAGTGAAGCCTTATCTTTTCTGCAACAGAAATAGGCAAATAAATAGACAAAAAAACCTTCAAATGTTGATGAAGAATTCCATCTAGCTCTAGTATCTTTTAGGTAAAAAGAAAATACGAAAGTCTGCTTAAATGTAAATCCTCATGAATCTCATATCCCACTTCTTCCCTTTCAGGTACGCCCAGCCATGATTGAGGATAAGGGTCACCGTGTGACCGACTACTTTGTGGTTGCCGGGCTTACGGACAAGTCCACGCCTCTGGAGCAGGACCTCTCCGAGACCAAGTCCAGCGGGCCCAAAGCCCCTATCAGCGACCTGGCCGTCATCAACCGGTCCGCCGGAGAGACAGTTCCTGAAGGCTTCACATGCATCGACAGCACCTACAGCGGCCAGCCCGCCAACCTCAACCACGGCAGCCTGAAGAGCCCCGAGCTGTTCCTGTGCTACAAGAGGGGCCGGGGGAAGTCCCCGCTCATCGACATCGGGTGAGTCAGCAGTTTGTTGACATGTGTGTAACGCCGACAACAGAAAAACATAAGTGAAAATGCACCCATTGCAACTTTTTTGGTTGATTTTTGCAGATTCAGATTTTCTTTCTTCCTGAGAATTATAATGAGTAGCTGCCACCAATGTTTTGGTAATTGTTCGACTCTCTGTGTGCACAACTTAAAACCATCATGCAGTTCATCCGTGTTCATTTGAACCCAAAAAGCACTTGGATATACAGTGGGGCAAAAAAGTATTTAGTCAGCCACCAATTGTGCAAGTTCTCCCACTTAAAAAGATGAGAGAGGCCTGTAATTTTCATCCTAGTTATACCTCAACTATAAGAGACAAAATGAAAAAAAAAAATCCAGAAAATCACATTGTCTGATTTTTAAAGAATTTATTTGCAAATTATGGTGGAAAATAAGTCTTTGGTCACCTACAAACAAACAAGATTTCTGGCTCTCACAGACCTGTAACTTCTTCTTTAAGAGCCTCCTCTGTCCTCCACTTGTTAACTGAATTAATGGCACCTGTTTGAACTCGTTATCAGTATAAAAGACACCTGTCCACAACCTCAAACCGTCACACTCCAAACTCCACTATGGCCAAGACCAACGAGCTGTCAAAGGACTCCAGAAACAAAATTGTAGACCTGCACCAGGCTGGGAAGACTGAATCTGCAATAGGTAAGCAGCTTGGTGTGAAGAAATCAACTGTGGGAGCAATTATTAGAAAATGGAAGACATACAAGACCACTGATAATCTCCCTCGATCTGGGGCTCCACGCAAGATCTCACCCCGTGGGGTCAAAATGATCACAAGAACGGTGAGCAAAAATCCCAGAACCACACGGGGGGACCTAGTCAATGACCTGCAGAGAGCTGGGACCAAAGTAACAAAGGCTACCATCAGTAACACACTACGCGCCAGGGACTTCAAATCTGCGTGGCCAGACGTGTCCCCTGCTTAAGCCTTTACTTGTCGGGCCTGTCTGAAGTTTGCTAGAGAGCATTTTAGGATGATCCAGAGAGGGATTGGGAGAATGTCATAATGGTCAGATGAACCAAAATAGAACTTTTGGTAAAACTCATCTGACGTGTTTGGAGGAGAAAGAAATGCTGGTGCATCAAAGAGACACCATAACCTAACTGTGAAACATGGGGTGGAAATTCATGTCTTGGGGCCTGTTTTTCTGCAAAGGGACCAGGACGGTGATCCGTGTAAAGGAAAGAATGAATGGGCCGAATGTTCGTGTATTTTTTGATGACAACCTCCTTCCATCAGCAAGGGCATTGAAGATGACGTGGCTGGCCTTGTCCGCATGACATGATTCCCAAACACACCGCCGGGCCACGAAGAGCGGGCTTCGGTAAGAAGGCATTTCAAGGTCTGGGAGTGGCCTAGCCGGTCTGCCAGATCTCACCCCATAGAAAAATCTTTGGAGGGGTTGAAGTCGTGTTGCCACAGCGCAGCTCCAAAACTTCACTGCTTAGAGGAGGATCTGCATGGGGGAAATGGGGCCAAAATACCAGCAACGTGTGTGAAAACCTTGTGAAGACTTTACAGAAAACGTTTGACCTCCTGTCTTGCCAAACAAAGGGTGATATATCAAAAGTATTGAGATGAACTGTTTGTTATTGACCCGCAATTACTTATTTTCCACCATTCATTTGCATAAAGTCTTTTAAATCAGACAATGTGATTTTCTGGATTTTTTTTTCTCATTTTGTCCTACTCATCATAGTTGAGGTGAAAAGGATGAAAAGTTACGGTCTCTCATCTTTTTAAGTGGGGAGAACTTGCACAATTGGTGGCTGACTAATATCTTTTTTGCCCACTTTTACAAGATGGGCTAGACAGACATTACCTTCCTTAACAATGGTCAGTTGAAGACGCCAAGAATAACTTAAAAAAAAACAATAAAAACACAACAAAATAATAATTACATTAAAATAATTTTAAAACATTACAGGTATATGTTAACTTTAAGGGGGTTCAGGGCCTAGCAATGTAAAGCCTGTGTTTTTCTCATGCTTATCACGTTATATGCAAGTCATTTTGACGGGCATGACAACACATTTTGTTCGAGGAAGAAGGAAATAGGTGTGTTGACGCGCTCCATTCACTCGCCCATGTTGCGTCACACAGTTCTCCCTCTTGGCTCTTATCCATCGATAGAATTTCTATACTCAGTAACTCCGTCATGTCTCACTTCTTCCACTCCATTCATCTTAAATCCGAACTGGCTCTTTCAATATTTCACATGGAGAGGAAAACCATGACCTGGCATTTCAGTCACCGGAGCTTTGTGTTATCTTTTGAATCATTGGGAAAAAATTCGCAACAGCGGAGGACTCCAGTTCTCCACACACCTCAGTCTTTTGTCTGAAGCTTTTGTGTCTCCCTCTACAAACTGGGAGTTTCCTGTTACAGAGACGCTCACCCTCTTTAAGGTCCCCTGCAAGGTCCCTTGTCATTAAGCTCGCCCTGTAAAAGATGTCCACTTTGATCTGATATCCTACTTGTTTCTGTGAGGAATTGGTTCGTGTATGTTTATTGATGTGTTTCCCTTGGTAAATGTAGCTTTAAACTACAACAAAAAAGCCCTGCAGCCGTCAAGCATAAACAGAGTCGTATGTCAAGTCATGTGTCTTTTAACGAGGTTGCGCAACTGTTTGCATGCTAACAGACATATGGGCGGATAAAAAAAAAGAGAGAGCAATCTACATCAGGATCACAGCCATTGTCAGCTGATGTCTTTGCATTATTGTATTTTTATTGCACAAATTATGGGCATGCAGTTTAATGCGACTTCACATGCCTCTTATTTTTCTGCGTAGCTGCAAACAAACAGTTTATAACAGCTCCAATGACATTCATCACGCATAGTTATTTCATATAATGAGATTGCTAGGGAAGATTAAGTTATGCATTAGAGCATTGACTCACTTCCTGATGGTTTATCAGCACGGAAGGTCGCAACTCTTTTTTGGCCATGTTGCAACTCCTTTGATTTCTGTTTCCACCTGCTGTCTTAATCGTCGGAAAGCAAACCAGCGGGACCTGTAAATCATTCATTCTTCCTGCTGTCAGTGTGCAGGCGTTTCCCAGCCCGGGCTACCGCCGGCGTCAAGGACTCACTGTGCCATTGACCCTGTTTTTGTTGCCAAATGAGAATTTGCTGGCAGTTGTCCTCCTGGCCTCTTTGCATTCTTCAGATAAATGGGGTGTCTCAGCAACTATTATATCGTTGTGGCCCCGAGATACACAATGTGTTTTGGGGTTGTCTTGATTAAAGGAGGCGAATACAGCTCTCAGCCTCCACGTGGGCATGTCGGATGGAAAGGGAGACACTGGAGCCATGCTGCCTAGACTCCCTTGCGTCATGCAAAGATCCGACAGGGAAACCTGACTCCTCTCTCACAGACACGTTCAGCTGTGTGCTCTCACAGGAACGGATTAGGAGCAATGGCGCGTGCCAACCAAATTACATTTAAAGTGTTTTAGTAAGGCAACGGCAGTTCTGTTTGTTACATTAAATTGCAAGCCGTTCAAAGTGATTACAACTACAAATATAAAAGTTAAAGCTTATGAGCACTTGACATTCTAGGCTAAGTACTTACAACAGTCATTAAGCCAGAAAATACGATAAAACAAGTAGGATATAAAAGGTTAATCACTATGGCATGTTATAGGAAAGTATTGCTAAAGGCCATCTTCTTTCAGGCTGGATTAAATATGAGTGATTCAAGGGCGTTCAAAAAAATATAAAAGCATTAAGGTTAAGGCACACCGAACATTAAAAAAATGACAGTTAGTAATCTCCAAGAAATACAATTTAGAACAAATAAAGAAGATAAGATAATGGTAATATACATATGTGATTTAGACAGCTGCTAGGAAGGCTTTCAGCTGGAATTAAATATGCGAGCAGATTCTCCCCTGATTTGCATTCTTTCTGGGGGAGTTTTAAAACTTGAGCTTCGCCATGTTTTGTTTTGTTCTTGACGTGTCGACCAGCTGGCATTTGAGGGGTGGATTTTACTGTTTCCTTTACGTTGGGACTTTGAATGAGTCACTGGTAAATATGTCTGTCCACATATCCTTGAAGTTAGGCTCGGTACCGAGCTTTAGAAGGAGACGAACAGTCCGAGGTGCGACCACACACCTGATCCTATCTTTAATAAGGAGAACCAGGAATATCAGTTGCTTATTAGTCTCCAGGAAATACTCCTTTTTCCTTATCGTCTGGAATGTGTGTGTCTGTTTTTATGGCGGCATGCAGTGCACAATGCTTGGCAATGCTGTTTTAAAAAAAAATCTAAGATGACTAAAACTGCTATTATTTATCTTAATTGTCTGCTTTGTGAGATCCATGGAGGCTGCTCCTTCAGTTGTTAACCCTATCATCATGCGTGTAGGTGAATAACTTCTCTTTTGGGGAATCGACCAGTATCTGCTTGTTGTTCTTTATTTTACCGTCTTTATTTTGTGCTCTTCTGTTCAAGTTCAAATCCTAGTTGTTCTGTCATGTGTGTCATGTAACTGTTGCTCTTAAGATTGAGCGTTGTTGTTTGGCTGAAGGCATGTAAGATCGAAGCGATGGTGCCAGCAAACTGATCCATGGACGCTCCCTCTCTCTGAGCCAAGCATTGTTTAGTGTACTGATGCCAGCTTCTTTGCATTGCTTGCCCACATTCACATGTGTTGTTGTATTTAGTGTTTCCATATGCAAAATGCATTTTGTATGTCTTATATTCCCCCCCCCCCCTTAAATGTGCTCCCTCCTCCGGTAGGGATGCTCATCGATATCTGGCCGCCGACGTATCGGCGGCGATCGATTCGGGCCCCGATCGATATCGGCCAATACTCACTCTGGCCGATTCAGTGCTCTCTAATGCCGTTGCACGGAGGCGATCGCTGCGTAAAATACATGACACTTTTCTCTGTTCGCGGCAACAGCTCGCAAATGATTCACCAGTCTGGCGTATTTAAGGTGTCCGAAAAGACAATAAATAGCGGGTATGCAAGTGTGTGAGCAGAATCCTGCAGCTCCACCGGGCTGTGCGGGGCAACGGTGAGCGAAGGGGGAACCACATTGAGTTTAGGACTAAACACTTAGTATTTATCACCTCTGGAACAAGCTAAAACTAGTTATAAATATATGTATTCTTCCACTGTCGGTGTCCTCTACTGGATCAGTGAGCTTGCATGAGACGATCTGACAGGCTGTCGGGGAGAGAGAAAAAAAGAGTAGCCGCTCCGTCATTTTCCCGTTTATTATCAGTTATGTAACTTGTACTTCATTGAATGTAATAATTATGTTGGTTGTTGTTTGTGGAGCGCGAGTGAATGGGTCCCCATTACTTTTTTTTTTTTAAACCAAAGAGTTTTAACATCACTTTTAATGGGAGTCCCCAGGCCCCGCCCACTCGATCGGCGATCGCCCCAAATTGGGGCGTCGGAGATCTAGTCCCCGTGGTGGTCAGTGGATCACAAAGTGTCCTAAAATAAAACCTCTCTTTTTCGTACACAAATCTCTAAAACGGAGGGACAACGGCGGCGATCCAGTTTGTGTCCGATTATGACGTACTATCGGAACTGTGGCTTGGCTTTTCACCAGTCCTATCAGAAACGTTGCTGTATCGAACCAAATGCCCACGTGTTTGGACACACAATTAAGTTATGGTCTTTGTTTATTAGCATCGCGTACAATGCCAGAGTACCTGTACTGAC